ATATTCTGGTCCTCTCCCTTGAGCTGCAGTGCCTGAGGATCCTTTCAGAAGACTGTGGTCCAGATCTGAAGTCCAAGCTGCTCTGTCTGTGAATAAGCTACCTCCTGCTTTGTCCCAAGCATAGGTCTCCCAGGCCACTTATATGACAATCAAGTTTTTGGTTTCTGTTTATCAATCAACTGAATCTCTTCTGTCTTTTATTATGTCAAAGCTGAACCTCAGAGGAATTCAAATTGAAGAAATACTAGATGGCTGCTAACAAGCTGGCACACTCGTAAAGTATGTAGTTATCTGATTTTTTAGAAACTAGTGCTACTTGCAGTAATAGTCCAAAAAATGTATGATGGGTGGAAAATGAAAGCTGTTTACCTCTTAGTTGTATGATACGTCTCCCTAACTGATGGTGCAAGTCTGATCTTTTCTAATTGTAGCTGTATCATCTTTAACTTGTATCTTTCAAAATTATGGGATTGGTGGAAGAGAGAAAAGCATGGAAATTTGCAGCAGGACTCTGCAGTCTCTTTCACTCATTCCCTCTTGGCTGTAACTCAGTCACCGAATTGCAGCTAGCTGCAAGGGAGGCAAAAAACGTAGTGTGGCTATGTGTCCAAGAAGAAAGGGAAAAAGAAGTCAGCACCAGCCAGTCAGAGGCTGCTCCTCAGAGTGTGAAGAATTTACACTACGTACCACTGAACCCCATATTTAAGGACATCTCATGATGTGACATACACACATTTTCATAAGAACTAAGTATGCCGCAAAGTAGAATAGCATCATAATCCAGTTTTATTTTAAAAAGATTCACTTTTATTTCCTTGTGTATCTAAACTAGGTAAGTAATTTTGAAGGTATTGATGTTTATACCAATGGTATAAATACTGTAAGTATGCTAGGGTTAAAGGTGATATTTTCTTTTTTTATGTTTTCAATTTCTAATCTGTCTACATTAGGATACATTAGTTTAACATAAAATTACACTTGAAGATAAAAACTCTATTTGGCTTTATCACTATTAAAAGTTTTCTTTTTATCTTAGACCTTTTGTTCCATTTGTCCAGATATTTTTCTACTCTGAGTTGCTACCACACACATTTATATTCCATTTTTGCATGGTTTTCTCATTTTTTTATTAGCTCATTTGCAGTACATACGGATTCTATCCCATGCTGGCACATGTACATAGCACATCTCCATTTTTCTACTTGCCCTTTCCCTCTCTTCCTCCTCCCTCCATCTCGTGATCCTCTTCCCATTTGCAAAAAATCCATCTCCCTGTTTCTATTACGTACCTTTTATTCTGCTCTTTCATATATTTTTATTTTGAGTTCTTTATATAAGAGTAGCCATGTGATATCAAAGTTTGCATTACACCTGAGTTTCTCAAAACATGCTGTACATTGGTGTAGAAGTCAATGCTCCAAACATGGAAAGGAGCAGCTTCGGCTCATCACGCCACAGTCTTCAAGGTCTTTGGGTTTCCATCTTTGTGTCTGTCATGCTTTCTCCATGGTTGGTACATGTGAAGTTCTCAGCTAACATTCACATGATAAACATGAGTCACTTGTAGGAAAATGGGTGTTTCTTGGGACCATAATGTTATAGAAAATCAATCAGACACACAAGCTGAAATATCAAGGGTTTCTCTTCTATGAGAAACCCAAGGTGTAACTAAATTAATAGGCCAACTAAAAGATAGATGATAGAAAACAGGGGGATAGATCTTTTGCAAATGGGAAGGGAACCGGGAAATGGAGGAAGGGGGAGGGAAGGGGATGGAAGTGAATGAAGACGCGTTATGCACAGGTACCCACTCCCGTGAGGAACATGATCAGCCGCACTACGGGCGGATGCTAATAAAAGTAAAACTGAAAAAGAGTAAATGATGCTGATACCCAATTAATAACTGGTATACTTATTTGTTTCTGTTTATTTAGTCGGAACAAATATACTAATTTACTGTTTCCTAAAGCTTGTTTTCCCATGTTCTAGTTTGAGAAATAATGACAGTGATAAAAAGTCAGTATTTCCTTAATCTTAGTTGTGCTAACTTTGCGCCAGACACTGTGCCAAGTACTTACGTTTAGTCACCTACAGCACTACTGCTGTTCTCATTCTAAAATGAGAACGTGCAACAAGCTAAGTGGTTTGCCCGAAGTCAGACAGGAACTGGCAAAACCAGGCAGCGCAGCTCCCGAATCTCTGCTGTCCTCACCGCCTCCTGCTGCCCTGAACATCTGCAGGGATCGCTTGTCTCACGCCTGTTTGTACAAAAGGCTTCACGTGCAGTCGCCTGTAGGATAACTGGGCTACAGTATTTGGAGCAATTGGATATGTGAAGGGGGGTGTACCGTTGTTCCTTTGTACGATATTTTGTGAAAACAGAAATGCTCCAGCGCGTCATAGCATATTCTTGATGAACCTCTGCCATCTCTACACGATCATCGGTTTAGTTTTTATTTGTGTTGTTGTCTTTTGTTTTTGTTTTTGCTTTTTTTGTTTTATTTTATACTGGGAATTGAGCCCAGGGCCGTCACATCCGCAGCTCTGTTTCATTTTCCTGTTTTTATTTTATATTTTGAGACATAGTATCACAAGGTTACCCAGGTAGGTAAGTTAGGATCCTCCTGCCTTTGCCTTCTAAACTGCTGGGATTTTAAATATGCACCCCTGCGTCTAGCAATCGTAGTTTTCTGGTTTGTTTTTTGTTTTGCTTTGCTTTGCTTTGCTTTGTCTTGTTTTGTTTACTAAGTGCTTGTTAAACTAATTTAATACTAAATCCTACAATTTCTAAATGCATAAAAATCGAGTTTCCTAGCGCCTAAGTTTACGTCTTTAAAGAACTTCTGAGTGACATTTAGGATCTTTCGCAGAGCAGGAGGGGTGGTGCTTAGAGTGAAACCCCCGCCCCACGCACACTGCAAGTCCAGAACTGCTCCCGCCCCTTCGACCCTCTGTGCTGCCCACATCCCCTGCGGGGAGGAGTCCACTAAGTGGCGGGCGCTGGTGTCCTGGACCAGGAGGCGAGAACTCCTCAGCACATAAGCATTCTGCTACCTACTGATCTATCTAGGATTTCAGGTCCCACAACCTTGTTTATTCTACCTTTGCCCGGCTGAAAGTCACTCTCTGTGGCAGAAGATGGGAGTGAACTAGAACTGCATCTATTCCATACCACTTAGCTCTGTGTTTCCTGATTTGTGACATGGCACCCTCTTCCCTTTTGCTCTTGCTCCACATGCAAGTGAAAAGGCTGTTCCTATAACTTTACCATGATTAGCATCAGCTTTGACGTTTTAAAATTCTCACAAACTTCTGAATTACAATATCCTAAGACAACCCTTAGCTATTCATACAACTTTCTGTGTAAATTCCTTTTATTTGCCTCTTTCAGTACAAAACGTACTTCTAACTAGAGAATTCATTTATCATTAAAATATCCGCAAGAAAAAGTTTGTTTGGGTGCATGTCCCACTGTTTAGGGCTTAACCTCTTTTATTTCCTTTAAAACAGTTACTACTGCAGCCCAGTTTTTGATGTCCAATTTTTGTTCCATTTGGGGAAATGAAGCCATCATGCTACTGTGAAAGAGACGGCAACAAGTTTATTACCAAGGAACAGAAATGGCTGTCTTTTTTCCTTTTCTTCTTTTCTCTTTCTTTCATTTTCTCTTTCTTTTTCTTCCTCTTTCTTTCTCTCCTTTCTCTCTTTCTTTTGTTTTCCTTTCTTTCTCCTCCCTCCCCTCCCTTATTCTTTCCTTCCTTCTTGTCTTTTATTTTCTTTTTATATCTGCATTTCTATAATTCTGGGGTTCTTTGCATTTATTTTATAGCTAGAATTCCTTCATTTAGGATTTTCTAACATTACCGGGCTGTCTCCCTTACTAGCTGCTGTCCTGGACAGTTGCTGTGATTTGATCCGAGCTTCCTCGTTTCCCACTGTATTTTCCTTAGCGTTTTGCCTCCTGAGAGAACATCATAGTAGCCATGTCTTTGTGTTTCTGTTAGGCGCACATCTCAAAATGATTCATGTTGGCTACAATAAATCCCATTTAGGGCTTGTTTGCTGACAAGTAGCCACAAAAGGGAGTACTTGGCTCCCTTGCTGGAAAGTGGGGAGACCTGGGTAGCATCAGACAGGACTGGGCCTGGGGTCTTGTGGCCACGGCTGTGGAAAGAGCCTCTCGCTGCTTGGCCTGGCTTGGCACTTTCAGGCTTTGTCCAATAGCACAGAAAGTGGCTACTAGTGTCCTTACAGCTAAGGAATAAGTAGATCAACAGGAGCGGCCCTCTTTCTCTACATCTGGGAAGACACTGCTTGGCAGATTTGCCCAACCTTGCACTGTCTCTGCAACTCTGGGGGAACGCATCCCTGTTCTCAGTGGGGTGAGATCCTTACCTTTCCCATGCAACAAGCAGATAAAGCAACGTTACTGGCAGCCCAGTCAAAGCACTTGGTACAGTAGTTTGTTAACTGCATGGAAGTAATGATAGTGTGTTGCTGAAAGCAGAGCAGAAAGAACTCCACGACCGCTAAGGTAGCAGAGGTTCCCTTCATTTGAACTGACTCTTTAAGCTTCTTGTTAGAGTGGAGCAGAGCATGTGGAAGTGCCTGGCTTTGCAGCACATGGTTTCCATGTAAGTTAAATTACATTGTGTATTGTCCTCACTACAGTGTAAGCATTGTGCTGAAACAACTTTATTTACCTAAAGTAAGCTCCTTGTGCTCTGTGCACATACTATTTTAAACTGTTCTACAATTATACTCCGTACTGGGAAATGCCATTACTCTCTTGTTTGGTCAAATTAATTTCTCTGGTTATTTAATGCTGTGTAACAAAACCTCTCAAAATGTAGTGTCATAAAACAATGAAGGATGTTTTGTGTACAGCTCTGCAGTCGGAGGACCCTTGAGAGTAACTCTTATCCCCTCTGTTCGGCATTGTTGAGCGGCGAGCGTGCTGGTGAGCACAGCCGTCTGAAGAATCACTGCTTCCCACTCACCTGTTCCGAGCTTGATGTTGGCTATGAGTGGACACCTCGTCTGGGGCGATGGCTAAAATGCTGACATGCGACCTTGCTGCGAGACCTGGGCTTCCTCACAGCGTGGAGGCTGGCATCCAGTGGTGACCGTCCTGAGCAAAAGAGCCAGGTGAAAAGTACATGATCTTTTATAGCTTAGCCTGAGGGGTCATTCAGCGCCTCTTCTACTGCATTCAATGCATTGAAACACCTACAAATAGACCTCAATTAAAAGAGGGAAGGGGGATAAACCCCAGTTCTTTTGTGATAAGAAGGTAAGGTTTGAAGGAGGACAGATAGAAGACTCAACACCTCTGTGACCTCTGCCTGCAATGAGGATACACTTGTAATGCCCATATAACTAGCATGAGCTTCTTTGTGTTCTTCCAAGGGCTACTTTTCTCTCTCTGCTACTGGTCTCTGCATGATGGGTCCAATGGCCCCAATAAATATGAAACACATATTTATATTGTAAGACACAGGTAAGATACAGGTATCAGAGAGATTGAATTGCCTACTTTGGAAAATTTACATATGCCTGATCTTTCACGTGTCAGGTATGAATCATCAAACAAGAAGTTCCTTCCGATAATTGTATCATCATTGGAAAGATTTTTTGCCATGCTAATTATAACCAGTTACATTTATTTATTAAATGTACCTGTGAACTGAATGCAAGAGTGTGAATTCACAGGACTTGCTTTGAACTTTCTTCTCTATTATTTTTTCTAAAGAAATAGTTCTCTACACTCTTTTCCCGCCCTCTATTTCTGTTGTCCCTTTTAGTGAAACCCCTCTTCAAGTTGAGATTCTAAATAATACATAATTCAGCCTTCTTTTATTTCCTCATTTATAGTCATTGCCATTTTTACTCTAAAAATGACCTCCACTGTAAAGTCTCCATTTCTCCCCCTTGTTGCACCTGTGAGCTAGTTAACACAAAGTATCAACCATGAACAACTCAGTTTCCCTGTCCTCTTCAAACTGAGCACCTCAGAGCACTGAGGACCAGTTATTTTGACCCTGAAATGAAGACCATCACTGTGTGACAATAGCCATAATCCATCTTAGGGGAACGTGGTGTCCTGATAACTGCAGATGTATGTCTGATTGACACTGTAATAGATACCAGATTTTAATAGATATGGCAAAGTGATTTTTAAAGAGATTCACTTTATCTGGTGGCTCAGGGAGACATTTTCTACAACAGTATGCAGCTCTCCCATTGCAGACTTTTTTCTAGGTGTTTCTTCTAGCTGTTATCCTACATATTCAAAACCCTGCTCCTCCTTCTAAGGGTCACAAGAAAGCTCACCTGAAGTCCTGAAAATAACTTCTTCTTCAGCATTCTGGAAATTTAAGCAGAATTTTAGACAATTATGATGATCACTGCCAGCCCATTCAGTAACTCACTCACTCATTCACTCATTCATTCCTTCATTCATTTTGCAGAGCTGGGGATCAAACCAATGACTTTGTACCTGCTAAGAAAGTGCTCAACCTCTGAGCTCCCCCAGCCCTTGCTTAGCACTTTACCTCCACTCCAGTGCACACAGACTCTCACCCTCACCGCCCCTGGCAGCCTCCCTTGAGGCAACTGCTCTACCTTTTTGGATGCCCCTGCCATGGCAGTACCTATGAGCACCCACAGCTACGAGGTGCCTCACACACAGTCCGTGGGCAGTGATGAGTAAGTCTAGGAAACAGGTTCTGATGCATATGTTTGGGAAATCATTTGTGTCTTTCTTTTTGAACCATGAGCCAGCATAATGTGCAAAACAATAAGCTTAAAGGAAATCTTATTTTTCAAATGACATTTATCATGAAAAACAAAAACAAAATCAAGCAAAACCCAAACCCTAACATGAACAGAGAGGCTGGACCAAGATGCAGCCAAGGCTCCAAACCCCATGAATCTGGTGTGTTGGTCTTTCCACAGACCTCCGGGGTGGGATGAAGGGACCCACTACAAAGCAGATACAGGGCTAAAAAAGAGAAAAAGGAAATACTGACAATGGGAAAAACCTAGAGGAGGGGACTCTCAGCTCAGGAAAAAATGAATAAGCAGGCTATTGTTCAACATTTTTGTGGACAAAACATGGGTAACCCCAATTTATCAAATACATAAATGCATGAAATGGCACAAGTTTGATGCCTTACTGAACTACAAAGCATGGTACCTGATATATTTGGAAAGGGGTTAGAGGTAGGAGCTATGTTATACTTTACAGGTAGATGTCCCCCCTAAAGACTCATTTATTCATATGTGTGGCTCTTGAGAGTGACTGGATGATGAGCGTGTGATGTTGGATTGTGGATGAATGACACTGGATTTGTTCACTGATTGGTTTTGCATAGTTCTTGTGTGGCAAATGGACTTACTGAAAAGAGAAAGCCCACCCTGGGTGTGGGTAGCACAACCAAAAGGCTGGTAACCTGAATGGAGTAAAATGGAAAATGGAAAAAAGTCTCACTGCGTCCTGCCTGCCCTGCCATGGACTGCTCTCCTCTGCAATGCCCCTCTGCCATGCTGCCCTGCCTTGCAACCAGCTCACTACTGACTGAAACCTCTGAAAACTGAGCTAAATAAACCTTCCCTCCTTTAACTTCTGGGTGTCAGATATTTTGTCCCAGCAAGGAAAAAGTAACCAAGATAAACTAATTCATCAATAATTGATGGAAGGCTCAACTTTCTTATTTGCTAACTTTACGATAACTCCACTCCAGGTTCTTAAAAGTAGTACACAGGGGCTGGGGATTTAGCTCAGTGGCACAGTGCCTGCCTGGCAAGCGCAAGGTCGTGAGTTCGATTCCTGGTACCAGAAAAAAACCAAAAAAATAAAAAAAATAAAAAAAAAATAAAAGTAGTACATATTTGAAAAGTGAGAAAGTGAATAGGCTCTATTTCTGTATTTTAAACTGTGCAATTGTGGGTTCCAAAATATCTGTTTAGTGCAGTTCCAGTCATGAAGAATTAAATATTGCCTATACTAGTTTGAAAATTAAAAGACCCAGGGCTCTATTGTGGATTATAGAGTATTTTAAGTAACAGTAGCTAATATTTAAATGTTTACCATATGCCAAGCATTCTGCTTGACATTTGTAATTTCATTTTATCTTTGCAACAAACTTAGAGGTAGTTATCTCCTGTTCCAAATCAGCAAACTAAGCCTTAGAAGTCTATGATGCTTGCCCAAGTCCCTCAGATAATATGTGATTGCTATTAAATTTGGTGTGACATCAAAACCCATGAATGTGGCTTCTAACTGGCCTTCTTTTCTGCATTGGAATCTCTTAGGACTCATCCATAAACACTTAGTTTTGATA